TTTGTTGTTTGAAGTTCAAGGACAACAGCCGCTAAAACATATGGTTGAGCAGTTAAAGGATTTTCTTTCATTACAGATTACGAACGCCAAGAAAACATTGTCTCTTGTCAATTTCTCGACATGATTTGCTCATAAGTGGTATCAATCTATAATAACGCCATTTTCGCCAAATTGTCCCTANACCCCCCCCCCCCCCCCCCCCTCCCCCAACACACACACACATACGCACTCGTGTCATATGTAGCCACTACACGGTAAACGTAGGCGCTTTGACCAAAAAACAGGACAACGTGTGGAATGGGGCAATGCTACATTATTTGGCAGATGTTAAGCAGGGTAAAATTAGATGGGATAGTTACATACCAATCGTAGATGTTCGAATATGTATACGTACATTGTAGCATGTACCTATTGTAAGAGGTCACATGGCCGTTTACCCGTAAGGAACAACAGCTCTATTGTTTACACAGGAACAGCACAGAAAGAATGCTCTAACCAGTTATAGTTTAGTTTACGCGAGAACTGCATTATGTTTAATGAAGGAGGTCTCACAAAGCTATAACTGTGGATTTTCATTATATTATAACCTGGTATATTAAAACCTACTTGGGCGATAATTGTAGTGTAATATATACACGACACGAACCGAAAATCTGTAAATTTTATAGCACTAAAAAAAAAAGCTCACTGGCGATGCCGTCTTCCTATTACTCTCGTTCAACCAGACGCTTAACACATGTCGGCGTAGCTTGCGCAGACAATAAGAGTCTGGTTGAACGAGACTATCTTCCTTTTCATTATTCACAGCAATCGAACCAGTTAATGAGTTGGCTCACTTCCAGCAAAAATCGGTGTTCAAGGTATAATTTACATCAGATCGATTGTCGGCAATAACCAGCAGGGTACGTAGGGACAAAGGAAAGAGAAAATCAGGTAAAAATTCTTGCGATATTTGCTTCTCCACTGTATAGTTCATCACTCATGCAGGGTCTTTGTTGTTTACAATATATTTATCTGTTAACTGTATGTTACATTACCTGTGATGTATGTTTACTGTATGTTACATTACCTGTAGTGTTGTATACTGTATGTTACATTACCTGTAGTGTTTGTTTACTGAATGTTACATTACCTGTAGTGTTTGTTTACTGTATGTTACATTACATGTGATGTTTGTTTACTGTATGTTACATTACCTGTGATGTATGTTTACTGTATGTTACATTACCTGTGATGTATGTTTACTGTATGTTACATTACCTGTGGTGTTTGTTTACTGTATGTTACTCTACCTGTGATGTTTGTTTACTGTATGTTACATTACCTGTGGTGTATGTTAACTGTATGTAACATTACCTGTGATGTTTGTTTACTGTATGTTACATTACCTGTAGTGTTTGTTTACTGTATGTTACATTACCTGTGGTGGATGTTAACTGTATGTAACATTACCTGTGATGTTTGTTTACTGTATGTTACATTCCCTGTAGTGTTTGTTTACTGTATGTTACATTATCTGTAGTGTTTGTTTACTGTATGTTACATTATCTGTAGTGTTTGTTTACTGTATGTTACATTACATGTGATGTTTGTTTACTGTATGTTACATTACATGTGATGTTTGTTTACTGTATGTAACATTACCTGTAGTGTTTGTTTACTGTATGTTAAATTACCTGTGGTGTTTGTTTACTGTATGTTACATTACCTGTGGTGTTTGTTTACTATATGTTACTCTACCTGTGATGTTTGTTTACTGTATGTTACATTCCCTGTAGTGTTTGTTTACTGTATGTTACATTATCTGTAGTGTTTGTTTACTGTATGTTACATTATATGTGATGTTTGTTTACTGTATGTTACATTACCTGTAGTGTTTGTTTACTGTATGTTAAATTACCTGTGGTGTATGTTTACTGTATGTTACATTACCTGTGGTGTATGTTTACTGTATGTTACATTACCTGTAGTGTTGTTTACTGTATGTTACATTACCTGTGATGTTTGTTTGCTGTATGTTACATTACCTTTGATGTTTGTATACTGTATGTTACATTACCTGTGATGTTTGTTTACTGTATGTTACATTACCTGTATTGTTTGTTTACTGTATGTTACATTATCTGTAGTGTTTGTTTACTGTATGTTACGTTACCTGTAGTGTTTGTTTACTGTATGTTACATTATCGTATGTTACATTACCTGTAGTGTTTGTTTAATGTATGTTACATTACCTGTGGTGTTTGCTTACGGTATGTTACATTACCTGTGATGTTTGTTTACTGTGTGTTACATTACATGTATTGTTTGTTTACTGTATGTTACATTTCCTGTAGCGTTTTTTTACTGTATGTTACATTTCCTGTGATGTTTGTTTACTGTATGTTACATTGCCTGTGATGTTTGTTTACTGTATGTTACATTACCTGTGGGGTTTGTTTACTGTATGTTACATTACCTGTGATTTTTTTTTACTGTATGTTATATTACCTGTAGTGTTTGTTTACTGTATGTTACATTACTTACCTGTAGTGTTTGTTTACTGTATGTTACATTATCTATAGTGTTTGTTTACTGTATGTTACATTATCTATAGTGTTTGTTTACTGTATGTTACATTACCTGTGAATGTGATGTTTGTTTACTGTATGTTACATTACATGTGATGTTTGTTTGCTGTATGTTACATTACCTGTGGTGTATGTTTACTGTATGTTACATTACCTGGAGTGTTGTTTACTGTATGTTACATTACCTGTAGTGTTGTTTACTGTATGTTAGATTACCTGTGATGTTTGTTTGCTGTATGTTACATTACCTGTGATGTTTGTATACTGTATGTTACATTACCTGTGATGTTTGTTTTCTGTATGTTACATTACCTGTAGTGTTTGTTTACTGTGTGTTACATTACCTGTAGTGTTTGTTTACTTGTATGTTACATTACCTGTGATGTTTGTTTACTGTGTGTTACATTACATGTAGTGTTTGGTTACTGTATGTTACATTACCTGTAGCGTTTGTTTACTGTATGTTACATTACCAGTGATGTTTGTTTACTGTATGTTACATTACCTGTGATTTTTTTTTACTGTATGTTATATTACCTGTAGTGTTTGTTTACTGTATGTTATATTACCTGTAGTGTTTGTTTACTGTATGTTATATTACCTGTAGTGTTTGTTTACTGTATGTTAAATTACCTGTGGTGTATGTTTACTGTATGTTACATTACATGTGGTGTTTGTTTACTGTATGTTACATTACCTGTGATCTTTGTTTACTGTATGTTACATTACCTGTGATTTTTTTTTACTGTGTATGTTTACTGTATGTTACATTACCTGTAGCGTTTGTTTACTGTATGTTCCATTACCTGTGATGTTTGTTTACTGTATGTTACATTGCCTGTGATGTTTGTTTACTGTATGTTACATTGCCTGTGATGTTTGTTTACTGTATGTTACATTATCTGTAGTGTTTGTTTACTGTATGTTACGTTACCTGTAGTGTTTGTTTACTGTATGTTACATTACCTGAACTGTTTGTTTACTGTATGTTACATTACCTGTGGGGTTTGTTTACTGTATGTTACATTACCTGTGATGTTTGTTTACTGTGTGTTACATTACATGTAGTGTTTGTTTACTGTATGTTACATTACCTGTAGCGTTTGTTTACTGTATGTTACATTACCTGTGATGTTTGTTTACTGTATACCTGTAGTGTTTGTTTACTGTATGTTACATTTTCTGAAGTATTTTGTTACTGTATGTTACATTACCTGTAGCGTTTGTTTACTGTATGATACATTACCTGTGATGTTTGTGTACTGTATGTTACATTCTCTGTAGTATTTGTTTACTGTATGTTACATTTTCTGAAGTATTTTGTTACTGTATGTTACATTACCTGTGATGTTTGTTTACTGTATGTTACATTATCTGTAGTATTTGTTTACTGTATGTTACATTACCTGTAGTGTTTGTTTAATGTATGTTACATTACCTGTGGTGTTTGCTTACGGTATGTTACATTACCTGTGATGTTTGTTTACTGTATGTTACATTGCCTGTAGTGTTTGTTTACTGTATGTAACATTACCTGTAGTGTTTGTTTACTGTATGTAACATTATCTGTAGTGTTTGTTTACTGTATGTTACATTACCTGCAGTGTTTGTTTACTGTATGTTACATTACATGTGATGTTTGTTTACTGTACTTTACATTACCTGTAGTGTTTGTTTACTGTATGTTACATTACCTGTGATGTTTGTTTACTGTATGTTACATTACCTGTAGTGTTTGTTTACTGTCTGTTACATTACCTGTAGTGTTGTTTATTGTATGTTACATTACCTGTAGTGTTTGTTTACTGTATGTTACATTACCTGTAGTGTTTGTTTACTGTGTGTTACATTACCTGTAGTGTTTGTTTACTGTATGTTACATTACCTGTAGTGTTGTTTATTGTATGTTACATTACCGGTGGTGTTTGTTACTGTATCTACCGTGGTTCCGATATCCGTTGGAGTTAATACACAATGATAATAGGACGTCAGACTTAAATTGATGAAACCTGCCAAATGTTATTTTTTTTCCCCCAAATACTCGTGGAAAGTACATTACAATTGTATATTTTCAAAATACGAATGTAGCGATCAATGGTACACGATAAACATTTATGCATACATAAACAACCCGTTCCATTGTTATACAGGTAACAAAGATATTTTTCTCAACCTTATGTAAAGGCCTTTGTCTTGGTCTCTGTTTACGTATATGCCCTATATATTTAACCTACCCCATTCAGGCATAATGTTTCATACCTCGATGGATACACGGTTTGTCCAGGTTAACTAAGGAGTGGAGTTCGGAAAAACTGTAAAACCGTAAAAGCAGACGACAGGAGTGACTCGCTACTCATTTTCCCCCCGCCTGACAGTTCCAGTACCGCGTGCTGTGTAAGATATCTAAACAACGTCTTTCTCTCGTCACAGGAAACTTCCCGTGCAATTCGTCTACAATGAACATGGATCCGATGTCGGGACAAGCTGTGACCATGCCGCCTCAGATGGCGACGTCCGTCACAAACATTGTAGTGACCACGCAGCCACAGACCAACGGCCTGATGGTCACGGGTCTTACCGGACACCGACACTGGTCAACAGGACTGTTCGGGTGCTTTGATGACATACCCTCATGTAAGTGATGTCACTCGTACGATCTGTAATTAAATCAATCTTTTGTTCTTAAAAATCCATTTTTTATTTACCTTTTTACTAAATACATCCATTGATTATTTGAGTTTTAAAGGCATTGTGTTTCATTTTTGTGGTAAGGCCGCCATGTTATGAAATGTTTTGATTCAGCACAAATACATTTGTTTAACATAAGATCTTATCAAATCCATAGACATTAGATTGTCATGGGTTTGATTTAATGAAAATCCTACTCATATTTCTTATCATAAGTTCGAAATAGGTTCAAAGACATTTCATCTTTGATTTCAGCTTATGTGAAGCGAGCAAAATCCCTAAAACATTGTAGGCTGAGCGTAGATTTGTCAGGTAGACACAAGTTGGAGTTCCAGCTAGTTCTGCACACATCCTTGGTATAAATTATTAATAAGTTTACCTGTACCGCTGCATATGAGCGAATACGTTACAATGCAAAAAATACAGTAGATGATAATGGTGTAAGTTGTACATTTTCACTAAACAATATGATGGCAAGGATAATTTTGAGACGGACGTCTTGCCTAAAGTTGCGTATTTGCGTTTTAGTCCAACAAACAATATGTCCGCCATTTTATGTAAAATATAGGGCCCGACTATAAGTCGTCCCGCACGGTAACTCTCAATAGACACCGCACAGGTACGCAACGCACAGGTACATAATGTAACACAGGCAGTGCCATAAACACAACATTGTATATTATTACTTTCCCGCGTTTCGGAGAATAGCGCGAAATATTTGTCCTGTTACACGGAGTATACGAGGGCAGTTGCCGGTCTCGTGCGTAGGTTTTGACCGATCAAATTGTGGCACATCAGCATGCTAAGGGTAGTTTATGGGTACGTGTGTGATCATTCTAGCTTCGTACCTCGCACGGCGTAGTACAGTTTGAAATAAAATGTGTGGGCATCGTCATATGTAAGAAATCCCAGCATCAATTTTGTAAAAAAACTCCTGTCGCGCCTAATAAGGTTTTCAGGTTGGGTGGCGCGCTTGGTTTTACATTTGGATGGCTATGAACCATGCGAGGGTATATTGCGGAGGATTGTTGGTGTGTACGGTAAATGAAGTCAGAGTAGATTTTTTGTTAATTTTTATTTATTATATTCATATTATATTTATGAATAAGTGCAGACTCCGTCCGTGCTATCGGTCGAGCAGCTATTTGCTATTTAGGTGTTGTGTTATGTTTGCCTTGGTACGTATAAGGAGTATAGAGAGGACGATTACGTATAGGTGTTCGATCACTTCCTTGTGGAGTCACTGAGTAGTGTTGTTAAATAGTCTTTGCATTATCGGTTAAAACTATTTATCTAAATGAAACGATGAATATTTTTCATATAAACTGCAGACATGCCATTTACATAAGTCCATTACATAGCGACCTATATATAGCCGTTATACGTCGAGAACGCGTGATGCGCACGGACATTTTAATTTGTTGAGCTCGCTATTTGTTCCGGCTGGTTGCAATTGCCTCAGGCTTTATAGTCCCAACTTTTGTATACGGTGTCAGAGGCGACGACCTAAAACATACTATGTGAAACTTTTGAGTCCATATTAATGTCAACATTTATGTCATTAAACATGTAATATAAATATATGTATATTTCAATATAATTTATCGAGTATTGTGTACGTTATATAATCCTATACCATGCATAGTCAAGTCATACAGCTGCGGGTGGGGGTTGGCTGCATTTAGTGAGGCCAGGTTACGTACAAGCGTATGCTGGTCTCCCTCAATTAGCCAGGTGGCGGTTTTGCCCCCCTCCCTTAATGGTCACATAATTGTTTTCATTAGGCATAATGCCTATATGTATTCAGATCAGTATGATGTGGCATGTTTTACATGTTGTGTATACATGTTTTTATTTTACGTTGTTTTTGGAAGAAACGACCGGACATGTTTTGTATACATGATTTTATTTTACGTCGTTTTTATAATAAACGGCCTATTTCAATTCATGCTGTGGTATTACTGGTTTTTATTTGACTATTGAACTTTTAATAAAAGCTTGCTGTATGACTGGGTACTGAACCCCACATCATAAATCATATTATAGCTGATATCGTATGCTGAGGATCATCAATAAAAGGGGTGTTTAATGAAGGTGGGCAAATATACTGGAAACCGGCTCTTTACAGCAAATGCTATATGGAGATAGTGTCTACTGATGACATAGCACTTTCTAAGATAAATATCGAAACAGGTGAAACGAAAGTGACAAAATGAGATCCTTGGGGTTTCATCCTTATTATTTCATATAGAAAGTCCCGCAAGGTGTCTTTTTCTTTTCAGAAATATGAAATATCAAAAAAGGAATTACATTTATTAATTATCAAAGCTACAGGGACACAAGGATTTGGTACAGCTATATTTGGACTTAAACCAAGGTGTTCAGAGTAACTATACACGTTTATTATCATCATTGGGTTGACATTTTTACCGGAGGTCGATGTAAATCTATAAAACGTGTACATTAAGATATAGCTGTAACCAGATGTCTGGTCAGATTCAGATTCTTTATTAGACTCATAGGCGCAACAATAATAATACANCACACACACACATCTACATACATAATCAGGAGAGTGATAACGAAATACTTGAACACATTATAATACAATTGTACATGCATACATAATCAGTAATACTTAAATACTAAATTACTAAATACTAAATTACTGAATACTAAAGACTATACTTAAATACTAACTACTGGAACACATTAAAGGGTTTCACGTTTCCTCGTAGCATAATATAGATACTTCCCAGTGTTACATAGTTCTTTGACATTATTTACACTCAAAAGTTTTATTAATTTGAACACACTTGGATTTCTGTAGTAAAATTCTTTTATATATATTTACCTTAACTTTTTATAAAATGAACACTTAAATATGAAATGAAACTCATCCTCTACATCACCGTCATTACATCTGTTACACAATCTCTGTTCTCTACCAATATTTCTACGACGTCCAGTTTCTATATCAAGGTCCCTGTGATCTAAGCTTTAGTCATGTCGGATAAAAACGTTTCCAATACTTCCGGTACAGTTTTTGACATTGGTACGGGGATCCGTATCCTGGCCCTATTTACAGTGTCTTCTAGCAATGTACTAAAGTAGGCAGTATTGCACGTAGGTCTATGGAGCAAGTGTAAACAATTGATAATAATTAACATATTAGAGTATATTAGAAAATATAATAAGCACCCATCCTTTTACCTGTGCAGGCCTGCTGACGTGCTTCTGTATGCCGTGTATGGAGTGTAAAACGGCCAGTCGTATTGGCGAGTGCTGCTGCATGCCTTATTGTGTCATGGGAGGAAGTCTGGCCATGCGAACTAAGATCAGAACTGTAGGAGGCATACAGGTAGGTGGCAGAGATAATGAATACTTCACCCCCTCAGGGCGGGATGTGAAATATCAATCATTATGTTCCTCTTCTAATTAAAAAGCTACAGCAAAAACGCCAGGCACCATACTTTAACGTGATCGTGACGTCATTAAGAAACTGGTGTAATGGTAAAGAAGTGGTGTGACGCTGGTTGCGAATGCACGGTTTTAGCCCACCATCGTGGGCTGATCAAATCGCCCTTCGTCCGTAGTCCGTCCGTCTTTACCCTTATATTGTTAATTCTATTTTTTCAAGAAGAACTTAACGGATATTTCTCTTAATTTCTCATGTATATGATCCCATCGTTCCCTACTCGTGCATGTTTCATTGTGAGACTGATTGGAAAAGCAAGATGACCGACAGACAGCTACCTTGGATTATGAGTGTTTCAGTTTGTGTTCGCTATTTCTGAAGAAACACTTGACAGATCTTCCTCAAATTTCATATCGTCGTTCCCCTTGGTCATAGTTGTGCATGTTTCATTTTGAGTCTCGTCGTGGCGGCCATCTTTTATTTTGATCGTACAAGATTGTTATCCTTATTACTTAAGAAATTTTAGACAGATCTTTCTCAAATTTCATAAGTAAGCTCCCCTTAGTGATACATTGTGCATGTTTCACTCTGGGACTGATCTGGGAATAAATCGCCATCAGACAGTCACCTTGGACTATTACAATTCAAAACTGTTATCACTCTTTCCCCTTGGTCCATAGTTATGTATACTGTTCGGGAAAAACAGTAATGCTGCTAGGCAGTCAGGCCTTAATACTATCAATATTTCCCAAGAAGTGGTTGACATATCTTTCTCAAATTTCCATTATCTGTTCTCCTTTTTTCATATAAGTAGTGCACTAGGAAATATGGTATATGACAAAATCACTTTTTAAAGATAATGTCATTTATACACAACAGATAATGTCATTTATACACAACAGATAACGTCGTTTATACACAACATATAATGTCGTTTATACACAACAGATAATGTCATTTATACACAACAGATAATGCAATTTATACACAAAATATAATGCCGTTTATACACAACAGATAATGACATTTACACAACAGATAATGTCGTTTATGCACAACAGATAATGACATTTATACACAACAGATAATGTCATTTATACACAAAATATAATGCTGTTTATACACAACAGATAGTGACATTTACACAACAGATAATGTCGTTTATGCACAACAGATAATGACATTTATACACAACAGATACTGACATTATCTGTTGTGTATACACAACAGATAATGACAATTATACACAACAGATAATGGCATTTATACACAACAGATCATGACATTTATACACAACAGAGACTGACATTTATACACAACAGATACTGACATTTATACACACCAGATAATGTCATTTATACACAACAGATACTGACATTTATACACAACAGATACTGACATTTATACACACCAGATAATGTCATTTATACACAACAGATACTGACATTTATACACACCAGATAATGTCATTTATACACAACAGATAATGGCATCTATACACAACAGATAATGTTGTTTATACACAACAGATAATGTCATTTATACACAACAGATACTGACATTTATACAACAGATAATGTCATTTATACGCAGAAGATAATGTCGTTTATACGCAGAAGATAATGACATTTATACACAACAGATAATGACATTTATACACAACAGATAATGTTGTTTATACACAACAGATAATGTCATTTATACACAACAGATAATGCCGTTTATACACAACAGATAATGTCATTTATACGCAGAAGATAATGTCGATGATGATGATGATGATGATGATGATGATATGATGATGATGATGATGATGATGATGATGATATGATGATGATGATGATATGATGATGATGATGATGATATGATGATGTTATGATGATGATGATGATGATGATGATGATGATGATATGATGATGATATGATGATGATGATGATGATGATATGATGATGATGATGATATGATGATGATGATGATGATGATGATGATATGATGATGATATGATGATGATGATGATGATGATGATGATATGATGATGATGATGATGATGATGATGATGATGACTACTCGTACAAATAAGAATGCAGAGAAAGCATACACATAAAGGTGTCTCTTTATTTATTCCCTTCGGCACAACGATATGAAATGTGTAATACGGTGTTTGTAAATATACACGTACCATGTATAGATGCACACATGAATATAATCACTATAATCACAGTAATATACCAATCTAACACTACCCGTCAGCCTGGCGAGGTAACCGTAAACCTTACAAGTATACCAGTACATATGTGATCTAAACTACACGTCAGCCTGGCGAGGTAACTTGAAACCTTATACTTAAAACCTTACAAGTATACCAGTAAATATGTGATCTAAACTACACGACTGAACCGTGATATCTGATGCATAACACAGGTAGGCACATTTAAATTGCAGTCGGATAATACGCGGAAACATTAAACTTGTATGGACTTGTCAATAAATTTAGAACACACTTTGAACATAATGCATTGAAGTAAAATGTAAGAGTCGTAGGTGGTACCCAATTAACTGATATTAACCAGACCGCTAGTGATACCCTAACCGCTATTGATACCCTAACCGCTAGTGATACCCTAACCGCTATTGATACTCTAACCGCTAGTGACACCCTAACCGCTAGTGATAACCTAACCGCTATTGATACTCTAACCGCTAGTGACACCCTAACCGCTAGTGATAACCTAACCGCTATTGATACTCTAACCGCTAGTGACACCCTAACCGCTAGTGATACACTAACCGCTATTGATAATCTAACCGCTAGTGATAACCTAACCCCTAGTGATACCCTAACCGCTAGTGATACCCTAACCCCTCTTGATACCCTAACCGCTATTGATACCCTAACCGCTAGTGATACCCTACCCGCTAGTGATACCCTAACCGCTAGTGATACCCTACCCGCTAGTGACACCCTAACCCCTAGTGATACCCTAACCCCTAGTGATACCCTAAACCCTAGTGATACCCTAACCGCTATTGATACTCTAACCGCTAGTGACACCCTAACCGCTAGTGATAACCTAACCCCTAGTGATACCCTAACCGCTAGTGATACCCTAACCTCTAGTGATACCCTACCCGCTAGTGACACCCCAACCCCTAGTGATAACCTAACCCCTAGTGATACCCTAACCGCTAGTGATACCCTAACCTCTAGGGATACCCTAACCGCTAGTGATACCCTAACCGCTACTGATACCCTAACCGCTATTGATACCCTAACCGCTGGTGATACCCTAACCGCTAGTGATACCCTAACCGCTATGGATACCCTAACCGCTAGTGATACCCTAACCGCTATTGATACCCTACCCGCTATTGATACCCTAACCGCTAGTGATACCCTACCCGCTAGTGATACCCTAACCGCTAGTGATACCCTAACCGTTAGTGATATCCTAACCGCTATTGATACCCCAACCGCTACAGATACCCTAACCGCTAGTGATAACCTACCCGCTAGTGATACCCTAACCCCTTGTGATACCCTAACCGCTATTGATACCCTAACCGCTATGGATACCCTAACCGCTAGTGATACCCTAACCGCTATGGATACCCTAACCGCTATTGATACCCTAACCGCTATGGATACCCTAACCGCTAGTGATACCCTAACCGCTAGTGATATCCTAACCGCTATTGATACCCCAACCGCTAGTGATACCCTAACCGCTAGTGATACCCTAACCTCTAGTGATACCCTACCCGCTAGTGACACCCTAACCCCTAGTGATAACCTAACCCCTAGTGATACCCTAAACCCTAGTGATACCCTAACCGCTATTGATACTCTAACCGCTAGTGACACCCTAACCGCTAGTGATACACTGACCGCTATTGATAATCTAACCGCTAGTGATAACCTAACCCCTAGTGATACCCTAACCCCTAGTGATAACCTAACCGCTATTGATAACCTAACCCCTAGTGATAACCTAACCCCTAGTGATACCCTAACCGCTAGTGATACCCTAACCGCTATTGATACTCTAACCGCTAGTGACACCCTAACCGCTAGTGATAACCTAACCCCTAGTGATAACCTAACCGCTAGTGATACCCTAACCGCTATTGATACCCTAACCGCTGGTGATACCCTAACCGCTGGTGATACACTAACCGGTAGTGACACCCTAACCGCTGGTGATACACTAACCGCTAGTGATAACCTAACCCCTAGTGATAACCTAACCGCTATTGATACCCCCGCTATTGATACACTAACCGCTATTGATACCCTAGTCCTAGTCGTTTGTGTAGGTCTACACGTTATAGTTACACAATCGTTCGTTTAAGTTTACCCGTTAGAGCTACACAGTCGTTTGTTTAAGTCTACCCGTTAGAGCTACACAATCGTTTGTTTAAGTTTACCGGTTAGAATTACACAGTCGCTTGTGTAAGTCTAACCCTTAGAGTTACACAGTTGTTTGTGTAAGTCAACCCGTTAGAGCTACACAATCGTTTGTGTAGGTCTAACCCTTAGAGTTACACAGTCGTTTGTGTAGGTCTAACCATTAGAGTTACACAGTCGTTTGTTTAAGTTTACCCGTTAGAGCTACACAGTCGTTTGTTTAAGTTTACCCCTTAGAGCTACACAGTCGTTTGTTTAAGTCTACCCGTTAGAGTTACACAGTCGTTTGTTTAAGTTTACCCGTTAGAGCTACACAGTCGCTTGTGTAAGTCTACCTGTTAGAGCTACACAATCGTTTGTTTAAGGTTACCCGTTAGAGTTACACAGTCGTTTGTTTAAGTCTACCTGTTAGAGCTACACAGTCGTTTGTTTAAGTTACCCCTTTAGAGTTACACAGTCGTTTGTTTAAGTCTACCTGTTAGAGCTACACAATCGTTTGTTTAAGTTTACCCGTTAAAGCTACACAGTCGTTTGTGT